CACAAGAAAGAAAAGCATGAGAGTGAGGTTATTAAAGTACAGTACGTTACATGCACCGAATCTCCCAGTTCTCGATGCAGGCTCTAGCAGAGATGTTACAGCTGCTGGTTTAAAAGTTCTTATTGCACATCCTAAGATCAGGATGGGTTCACAGGTCTTCCGGGCTCTTCAATCCCTGCAGTGCTGCCTCTGGGATGAAGTGCTGAGCTGAGAACAAAATGGCATCGACCACATGGCCTCTTTATACCTCCTTCCTGGCCTCTTCTTGTATGCAGCAGGTCACCTGGTCAGAGGCCAATCTCTGTGTTTCCTCTGGCTGCTCTCAGGTGACAGCCCCCATTCTTTGCGTGTGTCCTTGGCCCATCAAGTGCCATTGTCCCACAGGGCCTGGCTAATCAGCCTGTCCATAGCAATGCTTAACCACATGGGACCAGATGGCTGCTCCACACTGCCAACCTGCCTGTGTGTCATGACCCCTCAAACCACTCACCTGATGTTCCCTCCCCCATGTCCAAGGACACCTGCGAGGTCTCTATGGTCTGGAGGACCTGCTCCTGGGATAGGGTCCCCGCTGTTCCTCCTTCTCCTCCTCCTGGTGCAACTCTCCTGTCTCTCCTTCCTCAGGTCCACAGTATGGTGGGGTAACCCAGACTCCACAAGATGCAGCAGAGTCTGGGCTTCCCCACCACTGAGAATCTGCTCCAGGTCTGCATAATATGGGCAACTCTGTGGGGCTGCCCTAAGCGGGAGTTCTGGTCTCAGGCCTTTGCATACTCCTGCCGCAGTTCTTTTACCTTGGCCCTCACTTGGTCCAGGGTGTGGGGGAGATGCCCTGTCTTGGGCAGTCCCTGGACCATGGGCTCGTATATGTCTGTGTTCCTGCGGCGCGACTGCAGGGCCTGCAGGGATTCCTCCTGAGACCAGAGCTCTAGGAGGTTTAAATTTCAGGCCATGACCTGGCTGGTGCTCACCTTCTGGAGCCCCTGGGCGGGTCCTCTTCACTGTCCCTAGAAGGGCCAGGGGGGCCTTGAGGCTAGGACATGGCTAGCATGGCTGGCACGGGTGCTTTGGCTGGCTGCCAGACAGCAATGCCGGTCTGGGTGCCTGTGCCTTTAAGAGATTGCACGCAGAAATGATAGAGGTGCTCAGCATATAAAGGCTGGACTGTCAAGCAGGGCTTCTTCCTGGTGGCCCTTTTTTGGAAAGAACAGGCTCCCCCATGTCCACACACACCTATTTTAGACAGATCTCTGTCAAAAAAGGCGCTATTCCTCATGAAATGAGGTTTACTGTTGTCAACAAAACCGCCACGTTCTTTCGATTTACCGTCAACAGAATGCAGCGGCAGTCTAGATGAAGAGAAAGTTTTTTTTGAAAAAAGCCTGCAGTTTAGACACACCCAAAGGCAGAGCAGCCACCCTCTCCCAAGAGGTTTCTATGTGATTGCCCCTTTTAGCGATACCACGGGCTCTCTTCACATCACTGGCTGTAAGGAGCTGCTATGTACTCTGAAGAGCAAGTTTTAGTGTGATATGCTGTAGGCAGAGACCAAAACTAGCAGCCTGTGCAGGCCCCACGCTGGTGGGAGGGAAGACAAAGAAGGTTTTTGTTTCACTTCCCCACTGACTGTTTGCTGTGCCACATAGCACAGTAATAGTCAGCCTCATCCTCTGCCAGGGCCCCAGTGATGGTCAAATAGCCGGTGTTGCTGGACATGTCTTTGGAACCAGAGAAGCGAGCATCTCTGTGTCAAGCACTGCTGTGCCACACAGCACAGTAATAGTCAGCCTCATCCTCCGCCAGGGCCCCAGAAATGGTCAAATAGCAGGTGTTGCTGGACGTGTCTTTGGAACCAGAAAACCGGGCAGGGACCCCGGAGCCCTGGTGTTTGTCAGAATCTGACTTGTATCTCAGCAGGTATCGTGGGGAATTCCCCGGTTTCTGTTGGAACCACCTCACATTGTAGCCACTGATGCTGGTCCCACTGCTCATGGTGCAGGAGAGTTTCACGGTGTTTCCTGGGGACACTGACGCTGAGGGCGGCTGAGTCACCACATTCTGCGACCTGGAACCTGGGAAAATAAAGACAAACGTTGTGTAAGTCCCCTCAGACCATTGTGGGTGCTAGTGACACTGTTTCTGCACAGAGTCCAGCAGCAAGCTCAAGGTTTTCCCATCCTCACCTGTGCAGCACGTCCCCAGCAGGACAATGAGGGGAGCCCAGAGCATGGTGAGGAGATCTCAGGTCCCTGAGAGATAAACCCACCAAATGTGCTGTGATCGCCTGACAATATCTGCCCCTTATATTGATCCTCCTGGGAGAGGCACATTCAAGCTCCACCCTTATGCAGATCTGATGCTGTCTCATTGGTCCTCCTGACCACAGGGAAAGTGCCGAGTGTGAAGGGGCGGTGTTCTCTGTTGAGGGTTGTTAGACACATCATTCAGTGCCCCTTTCAGGCAGGGGTTTAGTGACAATTCAGCTTGGGGTTGGCATGAGCTCAGCTGTGCAGATGGGGAAGGGAAATCACTATGTGTTTTGGTCACTGATGCTTCAGACACCCCATAGTTCTTGTGCATGGGACAAACACTCAGTAATGGCATTAACTGTACCAGGCTGGTGACATGTCATGTGGAACCGCAGCGGATCCCTGGCAGTAAAGCAGCAGCCTGCAGCCCAGCGCTGCACAAAGAGGCTTGAGGAACTGATTGTAAAGCTGTTGATAATGTTCGATCTCTCTTCCCACAGTGTCTACTCCTAGGATTGGAGCCTGGCAAGTGCCCCGTCTCAGCAGCACTGAGCCTGCCCCAGCAGGAAGGGGCAGAGGAATGGACAGTTCTTGCTTAGTACTGACTCCTGGTGGGGAATCATTCTTTATGGGGCCTATTTCGGGTTTGGGGTGTCTGGCTGGTGTGATCCAGGCTTCGGCAGGGACATGAGCCCAGGTGTTGGCCAGGTGAGCCCCCGGTTCTATGGACAGTGTCTCAGACCGCCCAGCACTGGGCTACCAGGAATCGCCGAGTGATCCAGGCCTGCCACAGGTGGCTGCTCCCCATTGGAAACTGGCTGACGATGGCAGCCCGTGTGTACCGGGGCACAGAGATGGGGAGTTCACCACACCCCGTCCATCCCACTGGCCCTGATGGGCTCAGCTGAGGGAGTGACTGGAGCCCAGTTCCTCAAGCCTGGAGAGGAGCCATTAATAACGGATGGGGCCTTGTGCAGGAGGGGACCGATTGAGCCTGAGCCTGCTTACATGATTCTCGTGGAATGAGGAGTACAGCTAGTTCAGATTAGAAGCCTAATCCGAACTAGCACACCCCGTCCATCCCACTGGCCCTGATGGGCTCAGCTGAGGGAGTGACTGGAGCCCAGTTCCTCAAGCCTGGAGAGGAGCCATTAATAACGGATGGGGCCTTGTGCAGGAGGGGACCGATTGAGCCTGAGCCTGCTTACATGATTCTCGTGGAATGAGGAGTACAGCTAGTTCAGATTAGAAGCCTAATCCGAACTAGCTAGTCCGTGCCGCGTGTAGACGCGCGGCATGGGGTTCGAACTAGCCGGCATTTAAAAATGGCGCCGGCCGGCTTCATGCAAATGAAGCCCGGGAAATTCAAATCCCGGGCTTCATTTGCAACTGCGGATGACTACATTACCCCCGCTAGTTCGAACTAGCGGGGTAGTGTAGATATACCCTGTGCTAATTCCCTGAAGATACAGGCTCTTAGGGAGAGTATAACACAGGTCCATGAAGTTTCAGTTTCCCCGTTTAGGTGTGTAGGGGGTGAGCTCTCAGAGGTCGGCCAATAGTGTGGGTCCACAATCCCCTCCCTCACATTCCCCAGCAGAGATGCTCTGCTAATAGTATCTGATCAAATGCTTTGTTCCTGATGAGCGTGAAGAGGCTGATTGGATTGGAGGCTTTGAGCCAGGGCACCTGCTTTGAGACAGCAGCCTTGAGCAGCAGCTTTGAGATGACCTGACATAGTCAATGAAGCCGGGATTTAAATATCCCCGGCTTCGTATAACTCACATGACTGAAGCACTGTCATAGATGTGTATAAACTGTTCAGGAAGAACAGGTGGGGCAGAAAAAGGTGAAGAAGTTGCACTATATGTAAGAGAACGGTATGATTGATAGGTGCTCCAGTATGAAACTGGAAAAACCTTTTGAGAGTCTCTGGGTAAGGCAACAAGAATGATGTTGTGGAAGGCATCTGCCATAGACCACCATACCAGGAGGATGAGGTAGATGAGGCTCTATTTAGACAACTAAGAGAAGTTTCCAGATCATAGGCCCTAGTTCTCATGGGGGACTTTAATCACCCCAGCATCTGTTGGGAGACCAATACAGCAGTGCACAGACAATCCAGGAAGTTTTTGGAGAATATTGGGGATAACTTCCAGGGACAAGTGTTGAAGTAAGCAATCAGGAGCCATGCAGGGCTTGATCTACAGGGAGGAATTAGCAGGGGAAGTGGATGAGGGTGGCAACCTGGGAAGCAGAGATGATCTGTCACAAGGCCGGTTTGGCTGTGTCAGGAGCCATCCATCCCAGAGCTCTCAGCTGCGGGCTTTCCAAAGTGAAGAGTGCACCTCAATGCCCTGAATCACGAAGTCATGTCTCCAAACTGGTGGGCCTGTGCTAGGGGAGGGAACACTCAGCCCCAACGCACCCCACTGATTACTAAGGACTGTGACACCAGCCCCACACGCAGTCACAGAAGAAAGAATAACTGACCCCCACCATGTCAACAGGCAGTTTGTGTCTCACTTCCCCATCAGGCTGTGTCACTGTGTGAGAGCTACTGTCACTGTCCCACACCTGACAGTAATAATCAGCGTCGTCCTGCGCCTGCACCCCAGTGATGGTTAACGTGGCCGTGTTCCCGGACTTGGCACCAGAGAATCGGTTAGGGATTCCAGAAGGTCTGTTGCTATTATCATATATCACGAGTAGAGGGGCACTGCCAGGTTTCTGTTGGTACCACTGCACATACTTGCTACCAAGGTTGTTCCCTGAGCAGGTGAGTTGAGCGTTTTGCCCTGGAGACACAGACACTGAGGGCGGCTGAGTCAGCACGTACTGGGCCAGAGAACCTGGGAAAAGAGGAGAAAACAGAGGGATCAATTCGCTGTTTCATTGCTGTGCGGAGAGAGAGCTCACTCTGCAGGCAGCCAGCACAGGCAGCTGGGGAAGGGAAAATCTTTTTAGATTAAAATCTTTTTGGGTTACCGCACCCGAGCAGTAGGTGAGCAGGGTGAGGAGCAGGGGGGCCCAGGCCATGGTGGATCCAGACGAGCTCGGCTCCCTGAGGCAAACGGGTCTGTGGCTGGGACCCTCCGATTCCCCCTTAAAACACCAGCACTGGGGAATGGACCCCTTCATGCAAATCTGCTCGCGCCTGATTGGCTGTCAATGCTTCTTGCTACCCACTCTCTTGGGGAGCACAGGATCAGAGAGGGAGGATCAGCTGTCTGTATAAAGCCCCATTGTAACTGGGGTAAGAGCAATGCTTTGGGTTACCCTTTGCCAGGGGACAGTAGAGACCCCTGGAGCTGAGGACTCTCAGGCTGCACAACCGGCCACACCCCTTATTTCATGGTGCCGAGCATCCACCTGCCTGCCCCTGGGGTAACAAACCAGCTGAGATTTGTTGTTGTGGCCCCAACCCACAATCCCTGCAGTCACCTCCCCTGGTCTCTGGCGCTGGGAT